TCTGGAAATACGCCTGCCGTGTGTGTGTGTGTGTGTGTGTGTGTGTGTGTGTGTGTGTGTGTATCTGGGTAAAATAGAAGGAGTCTTACAGCTTTATCAAAAGGTGCCATTTTTCTGTAGCCCAGATAATTTTTAAAGATCACCCAAGAAAAGTGCATCTTTTACTTATATAACCTTTTGTGGGCACTGCCTTTTTTCTTCTTTGGTTGTTAAAGGCAAGAAGAAAAAAAGTTTCAGGGGGTTACCTTTTATTATGAGCTACATTGGATTTCTTACAGTGAGAAATAGATCTAACAGCCTGTTGCTTGGAAAGATGTGGTTTGGTTTGATAGCTTAGAAGCAGGGCAAGGAGCCATTGGTTGATGAACTGGAAGGCAAATTAAGAAATCACGTTGGCTGGGCACAGTGGCTCACGCCTTTAATCCAGCACTTTGAGAGGCTGATGCGGGAGGATTGCTTGAGGCCAGGCATTCAAGATCAGCCTCGACAACACGGCAAGACCTCCATCTTTAAAAAATAGTAAACATTCTCTGGGCATGGTGCCACATACCTGTAGTTCCAGCTACTAGGGAGGCTGAAGTGAGAGGATGGCTTGAGCCTGGGAGGTCAAGGTTGCAGTGAGCTATGATGATACCACTGCAGTCCAGTTTAGGCAACACACTGAGAACCTGCCCTGAAGAAAAAAAAAGTCACTGACTACCTCATTCTGCATAGAAGAAAACTAACAGCCAAGAAGTTAAATGATTTGCCCAAGTCATCCACTGCGTTCACTTCGGGCTCAGGGTGTATGTGTATTTTAGGTTTAGAAACTTGGTTGCACCCCGTCATTCACCACAACTCTATCAAGTCCCTATCTCCATAGAGAGCATTACCCTGCTCGTGGTCTGTTTGTGAATCTCTGGGGAAGGATCTTGGTGTTCTTCCCAGTCATTTGGAAGTGAATCAAAACCTGCACAACAGCTGGACTTGGTTCGATGCCCTTCAGTAGTGGGGACCAAAGTCCTTGCCTGTGCTGATCAGCGGCCCATTTGGATAATGCAGCCACTTGCTAGTGAGTAGGTAGCTTCCTTTTGTCTATTTTTTTCAATTTAAGACGGGGTGTCACTATGTTTCCCAGGCTGGACTTGAACTCCTGGGCTATCCTCCTGCCTCAGTCACTCGAGTAGCTGGGATTATCGGTACCCACCACCATATCAGGCTCTTTCCCTTGACTTTAGAGAGTAAAGAGAATGGAGTTTGGGATCTAGAATAGAGTACACTTACTTTAAGGAACTTCGTTCTCTGTCTCATGCTCTCTTCCGTCAAATATGAGGATATTTTCTAGTCAGAATACTTGATCTGAGAACCAGAGTGCTCGGCCATGAGTCAGTGTGAAACTGAGGGACATCATGAGTAGCAACGGCATAGCTTTCAGTAGCACACTGTAATTCAGTTTGGTTAAACTAATACTATGTGAGTTACCTACCCCTTACCAAAGTCATTTGTATCACACTGCCCAGTTTGTAAAGCTCTTCATACATCCTTATTTCCTTTAATTTTCACAGCAGTCTTTTAAGGGTCATCATGATTATATACAAATTTTAAAAACCAAGAAGTTCAGGACTAGTAAAGTTAAGTAACTTGCTCAAGTTCTATCAGCCTAGAAGCAGGAAACTGGGCTATAAATGCAAGCTCAGGTCAGTTTGACTCCACATCTAGTTACCTTAAGAGCTGCCTTTATTCTTTGATTCCTCAGTAGAATTAGAATTATTTGCCTCCTTGAGACTTATTGTAGTTTATCTGTAGTAAGCCTAATTCTCCCAAAAATCTTGATTCAGAGCTACTGCTGGTGGTAGCATTGGGTTTGCATACGATTTTTTTTCTGAAGGCCTTTCTCCTTCCACTTGAGGACAAACATTGGCAATGTATGACTGCTGTGAGCTCACTGAGGATGAACTCTTCCTGGTGACAAAAACAGGAATCTTGTAACCTCTAGGAAAATGAGAAAAAGAAAAGGGGAGACCCATCCCTATTTAAGGGTGAGAAAATGGCTGCTGGTAGCAAACCCAGGCACACACGCCTGCTGCGAATGAAGGCCTAAGGCAGGCAAGTGTGGGTAATTCAGACAGCTGGATTCCTGGCAGAATATTATGTTCTAGAATATTCCAGAACATTCTAGATTCACTTCAGTATGCTCTTCTAGTAGTAGAGACTGTGGTTTCTATGTGTTTGCATCAGCATCTCAGTACATCTTTCACCCAAACTCAGGATGAGTCTTCCTGGTTTAAATACGGCTGAGGGCACTCCCATGGGTTTAAATTATTTACAGAGCTGACTGCTGAGTGGTATGTTCCAAGGAGTAAAATTTGAGTATTTACTCTTTTGAGGATACATCTACAGATTGTAGAGATTTGCCATGAGTGTACTTCCAGTTTAATATAACTTTCCACAGAGAAATGTTTTATTATGCCAATTAAACTTTCCTGAGCCTCAGTTTCCCCAACTGTGAAATGAAAAGGATGTTTTCTGCTTTTTTTGGTACTTCTATGGAATCATTTACTATGAAGTACTAGAGCTTCCATGAAGAAGTTAGGTTTCAGAGGAACAAAGAGAATTCCAATACATTTTCTGATTTTTTTTCATTAAATTTGCCTTTTGTGTGTTTGTATTGTTTTTGTTTGTTCACTTTCTCTAGGGAAATAGACTTCTGTCTTCAGAATGCCTAAGTTAAAAAAAATTAAATATCATGCACAGTCATATCTCCATAATTAAGGAGTTGTAATGCAATTTTTAAAAATATTGCTCTTGTGTCAGGAGTGTGTCTTCTAAGCTTTTCTCCATAAAAAATGTGTTTATTAATTGATTGGTATATCTTCATTGGCTATAATAAATATAATTTACATTCTTCTTGTGTAGGTTAAGGCTGCCAGATAAAATACAGAATGCACAGTTAAATTTGAATGTAAGATAAACAACAAATTAGCATCAGAATTCAAATTGTACTGGGTAGCCTGTATTTTATCTACTAAATCTGGCAGCAGCTCCAATATAAGTGTAGCTCCCAATTATTTATATTGATTATTAATTGACAGTTAAACAAAACTGAGGGACTGAGAGATTGTGTTGTTGCCAGAGTCATGCTTCCTCCTGGAGACAGATAATGAAAAGTTTTAGCTCCATGCCAGCTGCTGCGACCTCCGAGATCAAGCAGCTTTCTCGGGAAGATTTTCAAAATCTATTATCAATGTAATCGTCATGAAAATATTTGATGAGAACACTGCATCACGCTGTATAATAAATTTAAGTAGAAAAGTCAAAGCAGTGGTATTTTCATCAGGCCTTTGGATGTAAAGAGAAAATAGTTCCACACTCAGCGAATATAGATAGGTCTGTTTTGGGCTGTGTTAAATCCAATTGTGTGGAGGTTTTGAATAATCAGGAGAGACAGCCTAAGCACTTTCTCTTCAAAGTGATTTTACAGAAAGCACTATTTCCTAAGGAAAATACACATATAGCTCTCATAATGCTGAAAGTGCACTAATGTATCAGTTTATTGGTGCTGGTGTCATGAGCTGGAGTTGCAAATTGTATTCAGATTTTAAACTTTACTCCCTGCTGCTGCTGGGGGAAGTTCCCATCCCACGATAAAGGTTATTTCAAAAACTTCTAGAACGCTTTTGTAGTTTTCATGTGAGACAGTCTTCAAGGATTTCTTTAGAAGGTTCTAACTTCACTTCATGAAGCCAACTCAAACATGATTTTAAAAAAACAAAAACAAAAACAAACAAACAAAACAATAGTTTTCCTCAATAAAAGTTGCGGGGTTGGGGAGAAGAATCTGAGTCGGGCTGTGTAATTTCAGCTTCCCTAAATAAGTCCTTTGGAAAGTGTTGAGGGGAGCAAGTGTGTGATTTTGGTCTTGGCTCACAACTTTGGAACCAACTTTTTAAAAAATGTCTGCCGTGGATTTTCATAACAGATTTCTTCCCCGTACGACATGTTCCCTAGCTAAGTAATAGGTCTGATGTGGCTGCCAAATTTTTTGACAATCTTTACTTTCCAAAGGAGGGTTAAATAATTCCCTTAATAACTTGAAAGAAAAAAAAATTTCAAGGTTTACCACGAGTCTTAGTCACAGGCTGAATGTCAACAGTTTTATGACTTTGAGCCTACTTAGTCTCAAGAATGTCTCCCAAGAAGAATGCAGCATAAAGGATTCAAAATGTAGTAATTCTGAAATGGAGATAGTGTTGTTTGCATCAAAGCATACATTCATGCTATCTTTATCGGGACTTCTGTGCCAAATGTTGCTTAGTTCTATTTGTCACCTGCTACCTATAAATCATCCTGAAATATCAAGGGTGCTGACTCATGAATCGCTCGTGGTTTCGTAGTTTGTGTTCATACATTTCATTCAGTTGTGTTTCAACTGTATGAAACATTTGGGAGCCATTTATAGAGAAGTAGCAGTGATTCCCTTTCTGACCTTAATGAGTACAGACACATAGGTACATTTGGTGGATGTATTTCCCCCTCACCATTAAAAGTTGTGCTCCGTGGGAGCAGGAAGGGTCGTTTTCATTAAAGAGTAAACACAGAACCAATGGCCATAGCAAATTAATTGCTCTGTTGCTCATCTTCCCCTCGTCTGAGCAGGCTGACATTGTTCTCTTGTGCCTTAAATCTTTCCCACTCTGCCTATAAACATGATCGTCTCCCCTACTTAAAATAAAAAATAAGAGTCTCCTCACACCCTGTTTAACACTGTTTAGTTACTGTCCATGCTCCCCACTTTTACCACAGAACCTCTTAAACCAGGAGGTGAAGGCCACTGCCTCATCATTCATGGTTGCATGGCTTTGGGGTTGGTGTAGTGACACTCCCATGCAATGTTAAAACTGGTCTTGCCTCTACATCACCATCTGAACTAAATGCCTTCCTGAGCACTCTGGGAATGATGAACACTCAAAGCAGCACACAAGGGCACTTTGTAACCTGTGTTATTGTTTCTTCTCTTCCAGGTATCTCAGTAACGAAGAAGACACATACATGTAAGTAATGCATTTTTTTTTCTGTCCAAAGTTTTCAGAAGAGTTGGAATTCACATATGTCTGGCTGCTGTGACCCTTCAAGTATAAACTAATGTTTCAGCTGTGATCCATGGTCAACAGAGGTCACTTTTTTTCAATCTGTGGTGGTCGGAAGTGGCACATCTCCACCTGTTTGTACTGAGTGTGTGTTGAAGAGAGAGGCTAGAGACATATTCTGATGAATGCCAGTGTTTCAAGCCATGAAGCTTTAGAAAAATCATAAAATCTAGCCAGGAGGATCAATTACTTACTGATCACCCTTATTCTAGATCCTTCTTAGAAGAGCTGGTATGTTTCTAGGAAACATCACCTTGATTTCTTTTAAACTTTGGTCTGCTTTTCCTCACCACTAGTTCACAAATTAGGCCGTTTCGTACTCATGTCTGTGGAGCAGAGATGCTGACTGGGAATAGAGGCGCTGTTGCTCGACCACGGGCATGGCCTGCGAGGGCCTGATAAATGGCATCGGTAGTTTGATGTGGAAACGTGTGCTGGATTTATGCTCTGTATTCATCCCACTTCTCAGGTTCAACTGCTTTCATCAATTGCCTTCATTTGAACTACACCATAAGTTACAAACTCACGTCAATGTAAGGTGTTGTGATTTGCAATCTGAGCAATGATGTTTGACTGTGCCTTGAACCTCAGGATGAAACAAGACATCATTGATGCAGGCAGTCAACTTTCACTGTACTTGACCAGCATATTATTTAGGCTTGAATTAATGGTGTCATTAGAATTTGATGACTATTTTAGACCACGGATACGTGCTACCTATGAGATATGTTTGGGCATTCTTCTAAGGCAAGCAGTGGAGATATTTATGGCACAATACAGGGACAACAAGGATGTATCCCCCAATTTTTCCTAATTACACTTTAAATTTTTTTATTTCATGTGAAACATTTGGGGAAAAACATCTGTATTACATCAAAGTAGTTTATCTTGTGCCTCAGTTGATTCTTGAAATCTGCTCTTGGGTTTGTCTGTCTGTCTATCTGTATTTGTAGAAAACAAAAATGAAAAAAAAAAAAAAGAAAAAACCAAAAAACGTCAAATTGGATGAGAAGTTGCCTGACTCTGAGGGCCCTGTCCTGCAGTCTCTCCACGTGGCTCTCTCATGGCCTTCAATGGAATGTTTGCTTGAGGAATAATGAAAAGGTCAGGCCCGTACTAGACACATGATCCGGATGGCACCTCCATCTCTCAATGCACAGTTCCAGTTGGCTGTCCCTCCATCAGGGTAGTCTGTGACCCTTAGCTTTTTGGGGGTTGTTTTGTCGTTGTTGTTGTTCTTGTTCTTGCTGTTGTCGGTGCATAATTGAGCTCATGATGACTGAGAGATTGACAGTGCAGGAGACTGAAGTCCTCTGTATATCCGCAGGGCAGGCATGGTACAGAGCGCTTCCTTGCACAGCCTTGCCCATGAGCTCGTCCCTGGCCCGGAGGGACCCACTCTAGAGGTGGTAAGTAATTCAGTCTTTCTGCTAGCTCAGTCCTGGGCCTCTCCCCAGCAGGGGCTGATGATTGGTCCTACTGTTTATGGTGGTTTGGGGTATGGACTCCTGGCCACCTGGCAATGTACAGAAAGCTACTGACTATTTGCATTATGACTTGGCTCTTAGATAAAGTGGACAAAACCACTACTTCAGCTCCACTGGACATAAAGAGTACATCTCAACTAATAAGATAACATAGACAGAGACCTAGATGTTACCTAGTATACAGACAGTCCATATAAAGAGAGACATTTGAGGAACTGTCATCCCTGAGAATAATTTTCTTGGCCTATTGCAGAAACAATAACCTGTGGTTGAGTTTCAATTCATGGAAGGACTTAGGTGACAGCATGAGAGTGGTGGCTAGGGAGGAAAAATTGGTGTTCTAATAACAGACACTTGAACCAGGTGGGTCTTTTCACAAAGGCTTAAAGAATTTCATCAGCTATACTGGCTTTAATACAAAATCAAGATATAGCCACAGAGGGTGGACTTTGAGTGCATTTCTAACTATGAAAATCAGCAAGAAAATTCTTACGCATTAAGCTTAAAGTCAGCGTAGATAGACTTAAAGCTTCTTTTATATAATTGACAGAAAGATTTGGATCAGAAATCATACTGTTTTGGTTGATGTTTACTTTCATGATTTGGGGGAGAGGGCCCAGAATAAAAATGGCCCAAAGACAAATTGGAAGGAATAGCACCTGAATACACAGTTGACACAAAACTTTACACATGCCAAGGAGGAATTGAATTGTCCAAGTTACATGTTAGTGGGAGTCCTCCGTGCCACTTGAACATGGAGATTGTTTTTGTCATCCAGCTCAGCAGATAGCCCATTATATTTCTGATCTTAGCATCTCCACAGGGCCCACAGCTTGTGAGGAGAAAGACAATCAATCAGTTTTCTCTCTAATAACAGTCACCCAAATGACTTCTTCTTTAGCATTTGTTGAATTTTTCTTGAAAACTGAACTGTCCTAACTTGCCTATACATTTTTTTTAAGATGTTAATTCCAGCTCCTCTTAAATCATCTTGACATCTGTTCTTCAAGAAGTTTCACTATCAGTGAAGTGTATGAATTCATTTTTGTACCGTCTCAAAACTTCCATTTTTAGCCAGGGTTCTGGAAACCTTAGTCAAGACTTGACTACATAATCATCGACAGCTGAAGTCACCCGACATTAGCAGTTTCAATCTTGGTTTCCTAACTGCCCTCACGGAGAGATTGTTCAACTTACAAATTAATATGTACAGCTGCAGAATATATTATCAGACCAGAGTGTCAGCTCACAGGTACACGGGACAGAGGTGCACATACTGCAGAATGAACCTGAATAGTTGTGACACCAGATAATATTTTAGTCCACCTTGTTATCTGGAAAGCACAGGTATTGTTTCTTTAAAAAAAAAAAAAAAAAAAAATGTTTTGGGTGACTTGAGCCAGAAATTCCCATGAAAGGAAATTTGATTGTTAAGCTTCAGAGGAGTCCATGGACATAGTCTTTGGAGAACTCAGTTTCTCCTAAGTTCCTGAAAAGGCTACCTTAAGTGTTTGTTTTCTCTTTAGTTGGCCAGTGGAAGAAGACAAAGCTTTGGGACTTCTAGTGCTTCTCATGGCCAGATTGTTCCGGGAATTCTTATATTTGTGATGTTCTTCAGTTGTTGATAGGAAATGTTGCTGTTGGTTTTTGGTGTGCGAACATAAAAGAGAGTTTTTAATATTAGATCAATTTTACACTGTGGTGTGGAATTTCAATTTAATTTTCACGGTGATTATATAGCACATGTATTTGGTTGGACCCCTTCAAGATTGCTTTGCTTTGGTGTTTCACAAGTTTGTTTTGGTCTCTTTCCTGCTGAAATAGCCACTATGCAGATAAGTATCATTTTCTTGGAATCAGCTGCTGTCTTGGTTTTTATTATTTGCCAAGGACAAGGAGTCATTCACTCCGGAATTCTTAATCTAATTCTTCTTGGATAGTTCTGCATTCACTACAATGTTACAAGAGGATAAATATGGACGTGAAAAGATGCGACAAATCATCCTAGCTCTTTCCAGCTACTGGGAAGTGTAGCATCGTGGAGTCCTAACCTTAGAGGACATATATCAGACAGACACCACAACACAGACCCAAAAGATATCTGGTAGGCCCCTGAACCGTTTCCAGAGGCATCAGACCATTGCTACTTCCTTCTGTTCTCATCCTTGTTTACAGTCCTTGTACCTCCTGTCCTAGCCTGCCCTGCCTGCTTTCTCCCACACTGAGGGACAGATACAAGCTTCTGAAAAGTACAGGATACTCAGTGAAAACAGTCAGGAAAAATATGTCAGTTTACTCCCAACTTGAGTTGTTAATTTTCCCCAATAAAAACCCAAACAAGATATGCTTCTGAACCTTCTAAAATATTTTCATTTGACATGAATAGCCATTAAAAGGTAATCTAGTACATTTTCAAATGTTTGATTGCAGCAGGCTAATACTTATAATATAAAATTAAAGCACTGTGTTATTTATAAAAAGATTTAGATCTCGATAGTAAAATATTTTAGCACAAATCAAAATATTTCTTTGAGAACTAATCTTTTGCATCCATTTTAAAAAGTGTTTATTGCAATCATTTAAAATGGGATAGGTTAATGTATTCACTTTTCACCCCAGAGACTTGGCTTTGAATTTGACTTAGAGAAAATTAGTTTTGAGGCCTCAACCTCCTCTCCATAGGCATTTGTTGATATCACAAAATGAACCCAACAAGTTGTCACAATGGTTGCCATTTACTCAGGAGATCCAAAAACTAGAATAACCTTATTTTTTCCTTTTTTTTCCTTTCCTTGAGGCCATCCTTTTTTATTGTAGACTCTTAGCAACCCCAAACTTGGGGCTCACCCACATTGTTTTCACAGTCCAGGAAAACTCAGGAACCATTCTTGGCAAAGCTAATGGAAGGTGCTTTGGTGATATAGTTAGTAGGTTTCCGTGGCAACCCATGTGACTCACAGTGTGACTCACGGCAGTTATAATTTCAATTGCTGGCAGGGTGTTCCATTAGGACAGATGTGAGAAGAAGCCACGCTGAAGTTCTTTTAGTAGGCCTTCATCCAGATCCTGTCTGCCCATTGGCAAACAGTCAGGAAAAGGGATAACGTAGTACTCACAAAGTAACTGGAAGATTCATTGCTTAGCTTACCAAGCCTACCAGCTATCTCAGACAGAAGCCTTGCCGGCAGTGGGTCATGACTAAAATACAGGTGCTGGCCTCTTAAAGGGCTAATTAAGGGACAACTATTCATTGAGGACCTACTCTGCGCCGACAGGCTTTTCACCTTCCAGGCGTTTACAGACCAGTTGTAAGTAGAGACTAGAGGGAGACAGGTTGGGGGATAGGGTGGGACAGAAGAACCTAATCACATAAAACAATCTGAAAACACAAATGCCAGGTGTACCAGTTCCACAAGG